CAACCTAAAGTCTCATCCTTACCCAACCTTCTGCAACTAATATATTTTTTATTCTTTGTAGTTACAATTAGTGAATGTTCATGTACTAGCTAGCACCTGTGCTTCAAGTCTAGCCAGTATGGAGTGAGAGTCCTAGGTTTTAAGTAATAATTGCAAAATGAGGCCTAGAATCATGTGAGCATAAAATGATAAATCTGAAGTTGCCAGAAACAATGAAACAACTTTTGGCATTTCATGAATATTTTCTTAATGGATGGGATTTGTTCTTCCACAAGTACTTATAGAAACCAAATGGTTTAAATCAGAGTCTTCCAGAATCACTGGAAAACATTCCCCCTTAAAATGACTTCACTGCTCTTAAGATTTATTATTCAAGTTGAGTTGCATGCCTGTAATCCCAGTGGCTCAGGAGTCTGAGACAGGAAGATTCTGAGTTCAGTGCTGGCCTCAGCAATGTAGAAAGGTCCTAAGCAATTCATTAAGACCTTATCTCTAAATAAAATATCTCTAAGAAAAAAAAAAAGGGCTGAGGATGTGGCTCAGTGGTTGAGTACCCCTGAGATAAATCACCCATACCTAAATAAATAAATAAATAAATAAATAAATAAATGCCATATATTTTATATATGTGTATATATATATACACACATATATATATGTAATATATGTATATATACATATATGTGTAATTCAGGAGGGAAAGGCAAATGCATAAGTGAGAGAGAGGGAAGGCAAGGGAAATATCACAAAAAATGTTGGTTTGGTAAGGTGAGGATGGTTCCATAACAGGTATGTGACCTGGAGCCCCATCATGATGTGACATTGATTTCTGATATTGGAAACTCTCCTGTATGGGAGCAGAACATAGAATAAGGGTTAATAAGTTGTACTTGATTCACTCTGTTTCAGCAACAGCCTCTTGCTGGTCCTTCTTTGAGTCCTTCTAAGACGTCTTTTTCTAGGACACAAAAATCTAGAGAGCATGGATCTAATCTTCCTTCAACCTGCCCATTCCCAATGCTTGCCACATATAAGCAATGTAATTAATACCATATGGGAAAAATGAGGTGGGTTTCCCCTGTATGCTTATTGAATAAATATATGCAAGTCTCCACAAACCAGTTGTTTGGCGACAGGAAATATGATTCCCAACTGAATAAGTTGGATCTAAAGACTAATTGAGAGAATGAGATTTTGACTATATTGCTAAGGTTATACATTGATTACACATCTAATTGCTACCAAAGTAATATTTGTTGTTGAGAACCTCCTATGTACAAGTTCTCTGCTAGGTACAATGATGGAAACAATATAAAGATACAATGAAGCACACCCACAGGATTTAAATAAGAATGATGAAAATTATGGTAACAATTGGTCATGACCATTATCATCAGAAAGATATAGATTTAAAAATACATGTGAGTTCAGACCAGGGGAAGATGTTATTTAGGCAAAGCTCTCTGGAAAGTTTCTATGTGAATACAGGCATTGAGCTGAGCCTTAAAATACAAATAGAATAAGGGGATGAAGAAAGGTGAAGAAGTTGGGAAAAATATTCCAATCAGGGATAGCATGAGCAAAGATACACTTTATTCAAAACACTGGTGCTTCCAGTCCAATTCCCACATGATGATTTTTACTCCCTTTCCAACTCTCTGGATTATTCTGTAATGCCCCAGACTTTGTCTGCTAAACATAGTCACTGGCAGCCACAAAGTCAGAAATGCCTAAGGGAGCCACTGAGGTCATGTTCCTCAAACTTATTGATAACATGTTTCTCATCTCCTTCCTATTCTCATGCAATTTCAAATCTCTCCTGCAAAGAGAATTTCCTGACCATTTTCTGACATGTAGGAGGAAACCAGCAAAACAATCTTGGATGATCTTCAGGTATCTGCAAATGCTTATCTTGTATTCTCATGAAAGAAAACAGGCAACGGAATTTAAAAACCAAAATAAGGCTAGTGAATTAATTCCTGAAAGGAGACAGTTCTTTTTCCCTTGGAGACAACCCAAATTATGAATTGCCGTTCTCACCGGCAACAGACTCTGGCTTGAACATTTTTAAAACAGGACTGCTGAACATCTGCTGAGCAATTAATGGAATGCAGCAGAATGTGATAATGGTCCCTGGGAAGGTATTAGCGATCCTGCTTATGAGACATGAAATGTTGCAAACAGTGGTCCTTTTCTTAAAACTAAACAAAAACAAAACAAAACAAAACAAAAACCATTTTCCCTCCCTACAAGGGAGATGAAAGGGAAAAGAAGGTGAAGTGAAGTGAGAATTCTTCCTCACTCTTCCTCCTTTTCTTCAAACTTCCTCCTGCGTCTCTTCTAGACACCCAAAAATGAATATGTTCATTTCAAATTAAAAGAAATTGTGGAAAAACCAGGTTCCGTGGTGCATGCCTGTAATCTCAGTGGCTTGGGAGGCTGAGTGAGACAGGAGGATTGTGAGTTCAAAGCCAGACTCAGCAATGGTGAAGCACTAAGCAACTCAGTGAGAACCTGTCTCTAAATAAAATATAAAATAGGGCTTGGGATGTAGCTCAGTGGCTGAGTGCCCCTGGCTTCAATCCTTGGTACCAAAGAAAAAGAAAACAAAGAAAGAGAGAAATTGTGGCAATTATCTCATCCCACAAATCCTTTGTTCAAAGTGTCAGGCTTTCCATGTGTGAAAGGAGAACTCTCTCTATTGCCTTTAGTAGATAGAGTCTAACACCTGTTAAAATATTTTTTGTATTGTTTTTCTAAATCAGATAGCTAGTTCTAACTTAGAATCAATCTCAAACAAGAAGCTGAACCCTCTTAAATTTGCCTTCCTTGATTCAATTGTTGAAAAGTGCTAATCTTGACACAAGTCTTGGCCAAACCAGTCTCAGTTAATTACCAAATTCTTAAATTCCTATTTTTCAACTTGGTTCCAGCTCTAACCCAATTCTTCTTGCATGAACATTTTATAAAATAGCATTTAATTTAATATTTCAAATCCCCCCCAATAATCTGAGCAGTATTTGGCACATAATAAAAAAATAATAAGTCAAATGAAAATCAAACAGAAATAATAAACTATGGAAGAGAACTATGAGAGAAAGAAGAATGATGAAATGTTGGCAGCCTTCAGAGTTGAAGAATTGGAAATATGAGGCTAGCTGTTTGTCCAGCTTCACTTAGGATGCTCCCCCTTTCGGTAGATGATTCTGGTAAAAGGAGGGTTTTCTGATAAATCACACCAGTGCTGAGCACAACAGAGAGCCTGAAGATGTCATTCAGAAGCTGAGTATGCTATAAAGCAAGTTTTAGACCACAAAGGATGGACTAGATAGTGATCCCTTCAAATAGAGTTCAGTATGGAATATCAGGTTCAGTTGCTTTTCAACCTCTAAATTCAAAGGGAGGAAGTAGCTCCACCTGCCACAGGAGAGGATTATGAGATCCAGTCTGCCTTATAAACAGAATAGAAAATTTAATTAAATAAATTTCACACCTCTTTTCAAAGGTCTGGATGACTTCTCAGAGTCCACTCAAGTAAGTACAGGTGTTTACCCTTGCATGCTCCATACCCCTCCTCCATGTCGCATATCTATGAACAATGACTTCTAAATATTTATTTCCTTAATGCAATGGAACTTTTAAAACAAAAATTTCCATGAAATTCTAAAAAAAGAAAAAGATGAAATCCAAGGGAAAGAAGGTCAGTGGCCAATCTGCTTGGCCTTTCTCTAGCCATAGAGTGACTTCTAGGGATTTGTCCTCACTAATTCTACATCCTCAATGTAATACCCTGGTGGCTGTCTTTCCCTAGTTCTTTGGTGTTTGGAATGATCTCTTGAATTCAGGCTATTTATCCTTTGAGATCCTTCCCAAAGATGACAACTTTTATAAAATTCCCTGTATCATTTTGACCATATACAATTAATCTCTGCTTTAAGTTTCCTGCATAACTTTGATTTTGTTATTTAAAATAAAAAAAACCATGAAGCATTACCTGAGTTAACCCAATCCTCACACGATCCACTGATAAACTAAGGTTATCAATTCTGAGGCACACTGAATTTAGTCTATTATCTCAGCCTGCACAGTGAATACTAGAACAAAATTGAAATAATGACCTGGTTGCAAAAATGTAAAATAAAATGGAACTCAAGTGCTTAAATATGTTCTCTTGCCTCTTTATATAAATATTTATGCACCTTAGTCAATTAAGATACCTCCATGGCCTATCATCCATGCCCCACTACCATCTCACTGCTACCATCAAACTTTCCCATGCCATAATCAGATTATGAGTTTTGTAAGTATTTTTACTCCATTAAATGGCAGCCCAGTACTCTGTTAAAAAAAAGTAATTTATAAATATTGCTCGTTTTATTTCTTGTTAATATACACAATTATATTTATTTATAAAATGCTTGAGACTATTTGTTTTGTCACTGAAATCTTTCCATAGCCTTAGAAGGAGGATTACTCCAATTTTTTACAGAAGTGACAAAATCTCAGTGACTTTAAGTGACTTGCAAAATCACAATCAACTTGAATTTTCCCTCCTGACTATGGTCCTACGTGACTTCTATGTCTCTGCTATTTCACCAGCAACACATTGAAGAAAGCAAATCCTTTTTAAGATGAATGATTTTAAAATAGGGCTTTGTAGAAAGAAGAAAGGAAAAAAAGGTTACTTATAAGATCAATGTTATTTTCAAGAGTTCCATTGAGACAAAGAATGTTATCATGTGAGGAGATGAATCTTTAGTGATTCACTGACCATTTTTGACAAAGACATAGGAACCATCATCTTATTCTGTTGTCTACTGGTTCCCATTAAGGCGGAACCATCGAGAAAGTAAACTTCAAAGAATTGGTGCCAAATTTAATATTAATGGTGACATCATGTATCCTTCAAATAAATAAATAAATTTCACACCTCTTTTCAAAGGTCTGGGCTTTCCCTTTGACGGGGCCACTAGCCAGAGTCCTGGGACACAGAAACTGACCTGCTGTTAGGTGAGCTGCATGGACCAGAACTTGGACCCCAGGCTTCAACTCAAAGTGCACTGAGTTTTGGTTGAGCTTATGGATCAGTACTTCTGATATCTGAAAGAAGAAGTGTTATAGTTAGTGCTACCAAAACTGTTAACACTGACCATGAATAAAAATGCTGAGAAATATTACTATTCTTATTGAAGTATCCCAACATTATACCTGTAAATTGTATAAGCAAGTTTTATATGATTTTGGGTTATATTCTGGAGTATGTAGATAGAACCATTTTTAAGTATGACCAGACTTTACATCCTAATTGCTATAAAACAAGATATTAGCAAATAAGATCATTTCTACTTTTAAAACTTACCCTGTGTTACCTTAGAGAAGTCACTCTCAGTTTTCTCAGGACTTAAAAGAAGTAGATAAAAACTTCTTTTTTGTTATTATTATTTTTTTATGTGGTGCTGGGGATCAAACCCAGTGTCTCACATGTGCTAGGCAAGCGCTCTACCACTAAGCCACAACCCCAATATACACATTCTGGTAAGATTCATGAGATTTCATTTGCCTTTCCTTCCCTCCCCTAAACCATACCCCATGGCTCTCCCAGACGAGGTACTTTGTGGGTACTACTGAATGGTAAATATTATTCTTATGAAATAATAAATTGTATAGTTGAAACAAAGTGTATTCACAACACAAAATATAGCCAACAGGGGGAGTGATCCTATTTGCTCCTTGGGCCGGCACGTGAACTGGACTGAACCATAGAATTCTGGACAATGGAATATTGAACCTGACCATGGGGTGCAGAACTTAGTTTTGGTAAACAGTACAAGGCAAGGTTTATAGATATGGTAAAATTCTATTCAGTTGTTTAGAGCAGACTTTTACTCAGTTTTGCTTATACTTTTGAAGAATTTCTGCAAAGCTATGAGGGATAATCACCCTCCTCTTATTTTTATCTGGTATCCTTATCTATTTTTAATAATCTGTTTTAATCATAAAGTTCATATTTTATTTGATACACTATTTAAATGTAAATAAATGCTTTCTGAGCATCATTCTGCTAGTAAAATTCTTCATTTCCCTCTTTTTTTTCTTTTTATCGAGCTTCATTTTCTCCACTGAGTTGCCAAAATGACACTTTTGATCTCTTTAATAATTAAACAGGGCCTGATGGCTTAGTTTGGCAGCACAGACCCTTAAAGAATGCCCTGGTTGGCAATAGAACTAAATTGCCCTGAAGATGAACTTCTCTGCTGAACAACAGGAGCCTGGGATAATTCTCCATGCACTATGGATGGACACCTGGGACCTTGAGTAATCCCAGTCTCTCAGATGCTGTCATTTGGCAAACCACAGAGAAAAATGAGACTTTTAAAACTATGTTGAAAACAACTTTTTCCCCTCTCTATTAAGATACTCCTTTTCTTGAGTACTGACAATCTTCCAGAATGGTTCCAGTTTATAGGAGGAATGGATTTCTAATCAATAATCCATCAAATGGATTACCTATATGTCCTGTAAGGTCCTTTCATACATTTTTCTTTTCTCTTTTTAAAGATTATTGGGATATTATTATTATTATTATTATTATTATTATTATTATTATTATTACTACTACTACTACTACTATTATATTTTTATGTGGTGCTAGGGATCTAACTCAGTGCCACACATGTGCTAGGCAAGCACTCTACCACTAAGCCGCAACCCCAGCCCTCCTATCTTATTCTTATCATTCAATTGGTAGGGTCTTGATAGGAATCTGACAATGGTTCTTAATAAAGGTTTTGTCTGTGAAATACAAACATGCACATGTAATAATATTTAATATACATACATATACACACAAAATTGTATATGCAATTGCATAAAAATTATTTTAACTCAATATGAAAGACTTGTTGTAAACAAGTTAAAAGTTGACCTTTTTATGTAGAAATTATCACAAACAAAAGGGAACAATGTACTTGTAAGAGAAAGACTTTCCTCTTTCAACCAGGTGAAGCTGTACTCATTTCTTATCCCTGTAAATGTTTTTCCTCAAGAGAGAAATATAAATAAGCAAACCAGAAAATAGATTTTATCAGAATAGCATGCTTCTCATTTATAATCTTCAGGAAACTCCCTTCTGAAAATGATTAACTTCCTAGACGTGTTTGGTTCCTAGCATTGCTTCATTGGTTTTTTCTGTATCATTTACAAAACTAAGCAGGCTGTGCAAAAATCATCGGGTAGCAGAAAGTATATTTCATGTATTTAACTTGCATCAAAGGACATTCAATAAAGAACACATACTCTGTGGGAAAGAAATTGTGCATAAGAAACAAAACTAAGTGAAATTTACATTCCATACAAGAATAACCTCAATTAGAACCATGTACTTTTCTACTCAAATAAATTACTGTGAGACTGTTGACAGATTTTGACAACATTTTAAATATTTACTATGTTACTTGCAGAAATACATATCTTGGATTGTGTGCGTCAGATCATGAGCTGGTTGCATATATTTTTAAGAATATTATATGTGCATTGAGCACTTTATTTTGATAAAATTGCTTCTCTCTGGCTGTTATTCCTAATACTACATGTCTGGTGTCTATGTGGAGTGGAACACAGAGCTAACTGGACAGACCTAAGTTTACCCAGTTCATATTTGAAGAATTGAGACTAGACTTCAGCTTTGTTTGACTGTAATCTAGAGAATTTTCATTTAAAAAAATAGTCTGTGAACAAGTTGACAAAGACAGCCAGAGATATGTAGAGAAAGTACTGGCTAAGTGGGCTTAGGAGATAGAAGAAAAGAAAGGTTCATTTTATTAATTTTGCTGTCATCTCTGATTCATCCGTGAAGCATACAAGTTAAACTACCATCCCCAAAGTCAGCTGACTAATATGGACCACAGGAATAGGCAATTCCTAATCTCAGGACTGTCACATTATTTTCACTGATCTGTACCACTTGTAATATTTGGGAGCATCTGGGCTTTGAGAAGAGTACAATAAATGCAATCCACAGAGAGGTGCAGGGTAAGACCTAAATGAGCAGATCAAAAACACTGGCCTGATAAAGATACAAGTGAAACAATATGTAATATCTGGGAGAGTGAACCTGCCAAAGCAGGTAGAATTTACTTCTGTTTCTTTTTCTGTACTGTAAAATTGTGTTCCTATAAGGCACCAATAAACATACATGGAAAACAAAACACAAATTCTTAGCAAGTACATCCCAATAATTAAAACCAAAACATGAGCTTGATTAAAGGTTTTGGTGTTCATAGCCTTAAAATGCATATTTTTTAGCCAATTTCATTTATCCATTTATCCTCTGTACTGACATCTTCCTGATGCTGCTCTCCTACACAGTTCACTTCCTACTGTACTGTAGCTAAACAATCATGGTCAAAGAAACAGCAAATTATTCCCAGTGTCTACTTATTAGGTAGACTATGCACATGATTCAAATGTGGCCCACACTTCAGTTAAATTACCACATCAGAGGACAGTGGGGATTCAATACAAATAGGATAAAGGCTAGAGGGACCTGCTAGAGGAAAAATACCAACTTTCTTCTTGCCTTCTTCATAAAAGATGAAGATCAAGTGCATAAAAGATGAAGATCAACTAGGGTGGGCTGAAGAAAGCATGGTAATTTCTCAGAGGCTTGAAACAATAAAGGCATACTTTTTGCTCACACGTGGTAACATATTCACTGTAGATAGATATTTCTTAATGATCACACAGGGAACTAGGCTGGTAGAGCAGCCATCTTAAACATTTCCATTTGCTATACCTTGGGAGGAGAAAACAGTTCTCAAGGCTTATGGGCACTTGAACTTGTTAGACTGCAAGTGACACGTATCACTTCCAATCCTAACTCATTGGCCTGAATAAGACCTGTGGCTCTGCCCAATCAGAAGAGATGCACAAGTATGATCCTACACTGCAACAAAGGTAGTGGGCTGGAAACATTTAGTCAACACCTGTGATGATGACTACACAAATCTAAACCACTTTTATTTAAATTCATTAGGGATAAGCAGTCTCAGATTATCAGAACAAAAATGTCAATCATTGAAACATGAAAACATACAAGCTTAAGATCAACAGAGCATTTGGCACATTTATAGAACGTGGAGCACAAAGAAGTGGCATCAGGTGAAGATATAGATTTAAAAATGGGTTTGGAAAATTTATCAATGATAAGGCTAACCTTGGCCAAAATATAACGCTTATCCATGATGTTGGTATGAGGAGCACAAACCCTAATGAACATAAAAAATCATTTGTGGCAAGATAATTGAGACGGAGCCTGGCCTGAGATGACCTCAGAGCTGATCCACTTGGTCAATCCTAATGCTGTCACATTTTAAGGTTCCTTCAAATAGCATTTGAGGAATCTTTCTCTTGTATTCAATGGAGGAAGATTTTCCCCAACTTACACAACACAGTGTCAGGATTAAATCACAGGGAGGCAATGCAGCCAAATGCTACCTACGAGTTAACACAGTTCACACAATCCAATTCTTTCTTATCAGAGAAGATTCAGCTTGATGAAAATGCTGAAGGAGTTTCCTAGATGATGTACAAGAAGAAACAAATCAACCACTAATAATTCTTTCCGCATCACCAGTTTTAAACTTCTTCCCCAAAAAAGGTCCGTTTCTTATCTACTCTACTTTTAGTTATAGTTTCCTATTTCAGTGACCTTCTTGTGAACTCCAGAGTACCTTTGTAATCCAAATCTTTGCATTAAAAATTCAGGACAAAGAAAGTAGACCAGGTGGGTATCGAATACAACCTGAAGTATTAACTACATTTCACAGTGAATCTAGTTTTTTAAAACGCTGCCAATAGTCTATTCTATGTTTATATCTGCCTCTGCTTTCTCCCTTTGATTTTGTATTCTGCCATCTGTCAAATGTGAAAATTAATACAAACAGACAAGGAAATGTATTATGATTGACATTTTACATGGACTTTTTTTTTGTTCCTTTTAAACATGCTCATAGCCTTTAAGGATTCTGAAAGACAACACTAAACAACATCATTGCCCCAGAACAGCATCACAAAAAAATCTCCCTGAGCATTGTGGCCTTCCCTCCTCCCATCAGGAGAGACTCATCACCCCTGAGGACTTGAGGAAAGCAGGGAAATGTGGTGCCTGAAAGGCAGAGCCTGTTCTGTCCCTGAGCATCTGGCCTCAGCACAGCAGGATGCACTACCCCTAGAGAGGCCACTGAGGGCAAGAGAGCCTTTTCTCAGTTGCTAGAGAGCGGAAAGAAAGACTGGTTGGAACCCTCCCGGAAGAAGGTCACTTGATTAACCCAGCCCGCATGATCCTGATAACAGCATCAGGTACTATCACAGGGGAGAATTTTCAATTTATTTCACAGAAAAGATAGCGCAATCCAAGCCAGCATCTCTGCTCCCCTGGGAAAGCTCCCAAAGGAAGCTCAGGGAGGAGAGGCCAGGGCCTTTGCTGGGTCTTTACCTCCCACTCTTCAGGGCCCGCTGGCCAGGATCCTTGTTCTTCCCTGCTGGGCTTCTGCACACTTAGGTTTACAAGAAGGAGGCCAAAGCATGAGGAGAGGGAATGAGGTCAGCCCTTCCCAAGTTTCCTCTAAGATTTACAATAATCTTCAAGGGAGAGGTTCATTTCTGTTGTTTGGATTTGCTGTGCATTTTTAAAAAATTTGTATTTCATTGTATTGAAAGTCAGTTGTGTTTGCCTGCCCAGTGGACCTTCTCCCTCCCCCTTCATCTTTCTGTGAGGGACCAAGTGCCCTGCTCTCAGCCCATTTGGTTCAGGAAGGGCTGCCCTAACCCCATGAGGCGGAGAGCACATAAAACACTGGAGTAGTCACTGTTCAAGCCTTCAGGGAATGGACAAGAGATCCCACTTCACCCAGGCTGGAGTGGTGAGAACTGCAAAACCAGGACTATGGCTGGTGCCGTCTGTGGGATGGAGTTGACAAAAAGGCCACATAGCAGTTGGTGCTGGCTATGGCCATCCTTGGTTTCTATGTGCTGGCTTCATTCCAAAACAGGCTTCACATATGGTAGTAAGGAAAACAGAGAGAGAGAGAGAGAGAGAGAGAGAGAGAGAGAGAGAGAGAGAGAGAAGGAAGGAAGCAATTTGTAGACACTTCTGAATGGCTCTGAATTCATCCATGCTGGGACTGAATCTCTGGACTTCTAAATGAAGTGAGTTCATAAGCTCACTTGCTTTCCCCAGAAAGTTATTTAAGAGACTAAGTCAGAGAAGAGGCTCGAAAGATCCACCTAGATTGAAAAATTACAGGTTTCCAGTGGGCAGCCCATTTCATAGGCCCTCCAGAAGTGTGTTGTTTTAAAAGTTGATTTACTGTATTTCCTATCAGGGTAATAATGTTATGCATAACCAAGACACCAATTTCTCAGGGGCTCTGTGTGGTCATCATGTTTATTTTGGTTTGAGTCCTGGAACAGACTGCAGCCATCTTCCTTAATCAGAGTTACAATCTCTAGCTTGGTATCCTATTTTCTTTTAAAATGATATAAGTAAGTCTTCTGTTCTAAACCTGCATAATTTACATGGGCTCACATCATTAATATACATTCTTACCTTTTCATATTGTCCTTGTTTTGTCTCCATTTTGTACAATCCCATTCACTATTTTTTTTCTTGCTTACTCACCACACTCTCTTCCAATATACGTCCCTGACTATATGTCCATTTAATAAGACTTAGCTGTTTTTTTTTTTTGAACCCAGAGGGGCACTCAATCACTGAGCTATGTCCCCTGTCCTATTTTGTATTTTATTTAGAGACAGGGTCTCACTGAGTTGTTTAGCACCTCACTGTTGCTGAGGCTGGCTTTGAACTCATAATCTTCTTGCCTCAGCCTCCCGAACCCCTGGGATTACAGGCATGTGCCACTGTGCCTGGTTAATAAGCCTTAACTTTGAATTTGCATTTCCACATCTCTTCCTATTATAAAATAAGCATAAATATAGCTATTATCAACTTTCCACTTATGAAATATCTTCTATCAAGCAAGTTCCCCAACTGTATTATTTATTTCATCTTCTCGAACACCCTATGGAATCGCTGTGACTTTGGCTACATCATTTAACTTTTCTGTTCCTTATTTTCCTCCACTATGAAATAGACACATGGATATCAGAGCTGAAACTAGAAGCCTGGTTTATATTTCTCTAAACTTGTGATCTTTCTACCAAAATGGCTGATGCCCCCCATGGATGCTGGGTGCTATGTTGCACAGTCTTTCTTCAAATGAGTCAGCTGCCTTAAGATCTCTGATAAAATGGTTTTTCAATGACTCATTCAGGCTGCCTGAGTACCTTCCCTCAGCAACCTGTGTGCCTCTGTGAAGGAAGCACCCAGAAGAGACAGAGAAGAGAGGGAAAGAAGTCCAAAGAAAATCGGCAGTCAAAGCAAGACACATCCTGCATAAACATGTTTAACAAATAGACCCTTCTTTCCATCTTTCCCCTCAAGGAATCATTGAGAAAATACTACAGTAAAAAAAGGGGGGGCAGTATGAAATATAGAAATGCATGGATGATGTCATGCCTGGGAAAATATCTGGCTCTATCTCTGGACTCTCTCCCATACTTAAAATAATTATAATCTGGATTTCATAGAAAACTCCTAAAATTTCCAGAAAAGGAACAGCTGCAAATGTCCATTTCTAAAGAACTTGGATAAGGATTAACTTCCCCTCAGGTTCTCAGCATTCTGTGGTAAGAAATAATTCATTCTTTCTCCTATTACATTACAGTGCAGACAATAATTTGTAGAATATAATGGGAAGCTGAGCATGGTAGAGGGCAAGGTCAGATGCAAATCTAACAGGTTACCTGCCGCCTGCTCTCCAATTGCATCTTGAGAGGAAATGGGTTCATCCGGGACTTCTGGGAAGCTATGTTCTTCATGACTTACACACAGAGAAAATTAGAGAGGCAATTTTTCTGATGGGTGAGAAAGTAGCAGCTGAAAGGAGAATATATGCTCAGAGGCGGACTGAGCTTTAATTTGGGGTTGTTGTTAGTAAGGGTATTGTAGTTCGTAGGCCAACCTGGAAGACTAGAGATCATGGGACTGGATTATGGGTTTATTCAAAGTAAATTAAAAAGCTCCAAGTTCTTGAGGAGCCAAATCCAGTACTTATTTAGTGGTTGAGAGGAATCCCTTTTTAAATCTATGTTCCTGGAAGAATTGAGAAACCCAAATCCTTAGGTTTTTATGAGAACAACAGACCAAGACAAATCATTTTAGTTGAATGGATAAAGGAGAAAAATATCTTCCTCAATACAGAAGGAGAAGAGCCTTTTGAAGTTAAAAGGTTGAGAAAGAAAAACAAAATGACCAAAGAGGGCAGGACACACGGACGGACGGACACACACACACACACACACACACACACACACACACAGTAAGACTCCAGAAGTGAACGAAATGAAGAGAAGGTGAACCTTCACATAGCCAGAAGAGGAGCTCTAGAGCAGATATCACACAATCGTTGTGAATACAATCTTAGCACAGGATCAATGTTTGAATCAAAGTTGTAGTTTTTATAAAAGGTGTCATTGGACTCCCACGACATTCAAAAATGAAAGAAGTCAAGTAAGTTCTAAGTGGGCTTCTTGTCCACGTGTCAATCAGCTACTTGCTTTTTTCTCATAATGTCTTGGGCATGCTTTCATGAAATCTATGCACATAGATTTCTCTAACTAATCATAAATGCTGCCGAGTATTTTACAGTATGAGCAGTTTGGTCCTGTGTTGATTTGGTGAAACTACAGTTAGGGCCACCAGTGTGTGACTGAGAAATGGAGAACCAGAAAGCTGAAGACTCCCCAGAAGAGGTGGTGCTCCCAGACCCTGCTCCCCAGAACCCATCAGAGCTGCTGTGATGGTGGAACTAGCAGTGGGGCAACCCAGAGGGCAAGCAGAAGCTGAAAATGGTGGCTAGGGGACTTACCTGCTCCAGGTCCTCCAGTGACCTTTTGTTTTCTCCTGTTGGATCCTGGTAAGGCAAGACAAAGAGCTCGGCAGTGGTGGGTAAACCAGGCAGTACTGCCACCAGGATGTGCTGGCTTGGAATTCCTGTGGCCTGAGAAAGAGAGGCTCAGGTGAGTCCTGCAGAAAATGGTGAAAAGGAACCAGGTATTCAGCTGGGGTGTGGGTTGAGGCAGAAGATACAGGGAAGTGTGTGGGGGACATGAAGGCAGAGGCCTGGGTGCTCCTGGCAGGAAGGCACAGGAGAGGCACCCCTGGATCACAAGTGCAGACTCCAGAGAGATCCACAGAGGTTTCTTCCCAGCTCTGTCATTGTGAGACTCACCCATCACTGATCTTCTCACTGCCTACATTTCCTTAAATAGAAAACAGGGACCCTCACTTACTAACTTCTTTATCTGCACCCCCAGGCCATCATTCCTGCTAACCCAGCTTCTTCCTTCGTCACCCAAGTGGAGATACTCTTCAAACCCACCAGTTATTCTAATTATCAACCCAAACAGGACAGCCCTCAGGGGCTCCTGTTCACTTCTGTCCAGTACCAGAAGCTGATGGCCAGTCCTACTCCATGAGGCACTCTGAGCCCTTCACTTGCTGTGCTCACACTTCTCTTAAAATTAGAGATATTACTCAATTTCCTCTTTGCCTTTTTCTAGCTTTCCCTTAGGCTTATATCCCAGGGTGTCCCCCAATCCCTCTCTCTGCACAGTTCTAGGATCAGCAGTCATAATCCCATCTTCTTTCTTCATGGTCAGTCAGAACACACTGCTTGGCTCTTTCACTAGGACTTCCAACAAATGTATCAAAAAAAGAACTTGCCATTCCACCCTCCACCATTTTCATTCTATCTTTAAGGTGACAGGAAGTAGGCCCTTCCCAGATTCTCTAGCCCGAAGCCTTTCACTCACCTCCTGTATTAGACCCTCCTGACTCTGTTACATGCAATCATCCTATGAGACCCTGAAAAGTCTTCTTCCACACTAATGCTCCTATTGGTTCCTTCTTACTTAAACATCCACCACTGAAATCCCAACTCAATCTTTATGTGCACCCCATCAAGTTTTACCTGTGTTTCTCTGTGTGCCTGCCACCTCCCTCGGGATGTCTTTTCTCTCTGTTTGCAGATAGAACTCTGCTTACCTTTCATGAGTCATTTACAAATCCACACATTTCAGTACATCAGTCCCTAGTTTCTCAAGTAGGTGACTGTCTTGGAGCTACCTTTTTTGAAGTAGTCACAAATTTTCTAGGCATTTAATTCCTTATTGTGTGCCTGGAATTTTGCTAAGTGACCTATAGATATTGTTTTATACAAAATAAATAATAAAGCAAGCAAGTATAGTTCCACTTTACTTGGATGGTAAAAAAAAATCACATCACAGGTTGGTGCCTCAGGATGCTCACTCTGAGTTTAGTGTTCAGGGAACTTAGTAAGAAGAGCTTGAGAATAACACCTATGGGGTAGGGAAGGTTAGCAGGCGTGGACAGGGGAGGAACTGAGCAGCCATGTAGGTCCAGTGACAGCCTCAAAGGACCTGTGGGGAGACGGGCTGGCCTTCAGAGTTTTTGTAGGTTGGGCTGAGATAGCCAGGACTTTGTGTGTACAACCATACCTGTCCATCACTCCACTGGAGCTACCCTGTGAGATGACATGATCCAGGACAAGGCAGGTGAAGCCTCTGCCCACAGCTCCCTAGCAGCTAAGACAAGTCTCTCCTGAACCAGGATCTAGGTATGTGTCCTTATCTCCACCCCAGGATCTAGGTATGTGTCCTTATCTCCACCCTGAGGGCAAGTGAAATAGTGGCTCAAGTCCATTTAGGAAGAGGCTGCGATGCTTGCGATGCTTACGAAGCTGCATTTCACGGTGAAGCCTGTGATGGTAACCTGAACTCTAGGCCTCCTTTCTTGTGAAACACACACACCAGCTCCCATTACAGCTGAGCACATGCTGTTTAATGCCCCTATTAGATTGTAAACTCAGAGATTAAATTAAATCATCCTCATTATAACAAAAATGCTTCCTGAATGACATTTAATTAAAGATTTCATCATGATATGTCAATAGCAAAAGCCAATTTGATGAGGAATGGACCACTAATTTTATACCAAATTCTGTCACATAAATGAATAGGAAGAAAACTGCCAATAAACCGACTCTAAGTTGTACATTTTATAGGGATTGTTAGGGCACACTTGGCAATGTGTCCCTTAAGACTTAGGAAAGTAGCCAAGTGTAATTGCTGATCTCAAAGACAGGGTTCCAGGGGACCACAGGCTGGATCAGCTGCCTACTGGGATGGAGTAACTGGAGAGTTTTGGGTACTAGAAGATATTACCACCCCCCCCCCACCCTGTCCTGAAGGATGCTGAGCAACACATTTATTCTTGTTTAGCTGATTATAATATGCAGCAGCCTTAGGAATACTGATGAGCAGTGGTTTCTGGCCTATTGGACAGCTGGTGGGAAGGAGGAGGCCCAGGGCATCTGACCTCTAGATAATGTGAAGAGAAATCATCCCAGAAGGCTAATCACTGCTGAGCTGGTGCCTGAGCTGGTGCCCACAATCACCTGGTGGGTTTGGATTGTTGCCTGGGATTCTTAGGTCCCTAGGGGATCCCATGTCCCTAGAAGGTTGCAGAGTTAACCAGGTGGGCTGTGGGTTCATGGAAAGTTGTAAGTCATCTCGATTGAAGAGCAGGAGAAAGAAACCAATTGTCACTCCAGGGACAGATGGCTCCAAAGGCAGAAAGTCCTTAGTCTAGTAGCTGCTCTTCCTGGTGGCCATAGTGTTGAAGCTTCAGTAATGGCATGCCTGGTGAAGCCATGGAGACAGAGCTGGACTGCAATTACCAGGAGACATATGAAGACCCCCACCCCCTTCTCTACCTTAGTTTGGCTTCCATCCCTGTTTCTCCTTGAAGAAAGACAATAGACAGCAGTACTGTGGAACAGTAGGAAACCACAAAATGGAGATTCTAGCCTTGAAGGTCTGAGCCTAAATTTGTAGCGGCATGACCTTGGGCAAGTTCCTGGACGCCTCTTATACCTGTACAAGGAGTACAGGCTTCATACCAATGCCATAGGCTTATCCTTGGTATTTAACATTAAACAGTATGAAGCACTGACGGGAGGGTCTAGAGTATTTTAAGTGCTAAACAAATGTCAATAAAGGTCATGGTGTGAGGACTGGAATGCTGAGAGGCTGATTTGGGATCTCTTTTCTGACTGGGGTTCTCTGAATGTTTTATTATATCATGATTTTCCATCAGTGATGACATGTGTTGGGAGCAGGATATACAGAAACTTAAACTGATTTTCTGTGTGGGTTCAGAACCTCAGGAAAAGACAGCTCATGCCTAATGTCCTGGGTTTGTGCACCTAGTCCAAGCAGCCCTGGAGCTGCTATCCCACTGTGCTCACTCCTGCAAGTGGAGTAGGTCTGGGAAGATGATACCCCCACAAAGGGTGTCTTACCACTCTTCAGGAACATCTGCTCAGGGAGGGATAAAGTGTACCCTCTTGGATGCTCCTAGAAAAACCTCAGGAGATCATGTTGCATTACAAAACCCTAGACACTGGACTCAGGCCCTTCATTTCAATTCTGAAGCCTTGTCACCTATTGGCTGTGAGAGTTTATGAAAGTCTTCTAACTTCTCTGAACCTCAGTTGCCTCATCTATGAAAAGAAAATAGTAATAGCTTCCTCTCGATACTGGTACAGGAGGGAAATGTCTTTAAGAGAAGCAGGCCATGTGACCCCCCATCAGGTATGAGTCCTCACTGCACACAGTGTGGGGCTGGCACCCAGGCTGCTCTTAGTAATTACACCTGCCCACGAGGACACTTGAGCGCGTGCCCCTCCATTATTGTGCACAGTGGCTCATCTTACACTAAAGGCCTCATCATGAACTCTAAGCAGAATCAACTTTGTGAGGGACAAGCACCTCATGACTGTCACGGTTGCTCTTTACCCTGGTGCCTGCCACAGGCCTGCACGTGAGGGCTTAGCACCGATGACGCCACACCTCGGAACTAGCTTCCTGTGGCTCCATCTCCTTCCTGTCCCTTCTTAGATGTTCTTCCATAAAGTTCTCCAAGGACAGAGAGAAAATGTGTCCAAATGAGAGAAGAACTCTTGGCACTCACTTCCACCAGGGACTTTTTGATGACTCTGCTGATGTCCCTCCTCCACTCAGGAATGTCCGGGTTGTAGTCATCCAGGTTTGGAGAAAAGGACAAGCGAAGAGAACGGAATTCCTCTGGGGATACAACAGCAGGTGGATTACTGGAAGTCAGGTACTTTAGTCAAGCAGCATAAACTTTGTATTTGATGCAAAGCCCTCATGGAGGGTCCTCTCCTTTCACACTCACCAGAGAAAGAAAATTTTCTATCCCTGTCCCTGGTATCTCATTAGTTCCTTACTTTATAAACCAAATTCTAGGACTCTGGCTCACACCTAGCTCTGTAGACTCTGACTATTATCCCTAGTTCCAGACTTTGCCTTCCCAGATACTAACTGACCTTAGGGCTCTAAATACATGATATACTTATGACCCCAGGGCCTTTGCCTGTCCTCTTCCTCCACTTGGAATGCCCATTCACCCCAATGTCTTTCCACAAAGTTCAAGCTCTAGTTTAAGCTTTCCCGACTGACCTTTCTACCAAACCCCAAACATTTAAATTTTTTAATGAAACTACTATGTTTTTCACATACTTTTATCATATGATTGAATAGCAATAGTTATATCATTATATACTTTTATTTATTATAATTACTTTATCTTTTGTCTGCAAAGAAGTTTCATTGAAAGGAATTTTAAGCTCCTTATGTTGAGGACTGTGTTCGCTTTTTGTGTAACCCCTGAATTAGGCCTGGGTTCATCTGCATCCTCCAGGAAATGGGTTGGGGATTAAACAAGCAAAGATTTTATGAACAGAATCATCTTTGGGAGAAAACGAGGAGGGACCCAGGGGAGGCATGGAGAGCCATCAGCTCACAGGCATGCAGGGCTGTGAGAGAGGAAGAGGGCTGGTGACTGCCCTGCAGCATGCAGAAGGCTCAGCAAGTACTGGGAGATGTTGAAGCAAAGCTGACCTGCAAAGGAGTCCCCTGCGTCCCAGGAATGGGCCAGCCTCGGTACCCCTGAAACCCTCATCACTAGCTGGGACCCATCCCTAGAAGCAGCAGCCAGGCCCACGACAGCGAGGAATTCTGGAGCACAGCATCCAGGGCTTGTCAGTTTTGCTTCCCAGAGTTGGAAGTTTCTAGGGTGCATTTTTATGGCTTCTATACCTTAACACAGGACAGTGTTTGCCAAAGGGCACACTCAGGTAAGCTCTCCCCTACAACCTGTGAGTGACTCCACAGTGAAGTTTAGAGTCTTACCAAGCCTTCCTGTTCCCCACACCCTGGTGTAGACTTACTCTCCTACCCCAGCTCACCTCTGCCTCTCCACATGACAGCATGAGCTCTTCTCATTATTCAGTCTGCTAGCAGACTTTCTGACCAACTGACCTCAGGCAGCCTCCTGTTCACCAGCCCCAGGTACCCTCCATCTCTGGATCCTGTTTGTCTTCTTTATACCTAATATTATTTAATTTGTCTTCACTACATGTATCCGTAACTGGAATGTAAAATGATTAAGAACAGGCACTATGTTCCTGGCTGTGAGAGAGTGCTAGAACATAGTAGGTTTTCAATTATTATCTCTGGGACATTTAATTAGTAAGTGTCTATTGAATAAATAAATGATTAAATTATAGCAAAGGCTCTCTGTTATTTCTATGTTTACTTCTTCAGTACACAGTCTTTATTTTAAGCATGTCCTTGGGTTTCAGTAGGGGCTAAGCGATGTCACTGGTATCAATTATAAATTCAGGAAACATAAAATCCCCCTCGTGCACTTCCTAATGATGCTGATGGGTTATCAAACACATGCTTTGAAGATGCTTACATTATAAGATGTGAATTTATGGCAGTAACCTGATTCCAAAGACATATTTTTCAAAGCTTGACTATTTTATGAGTCACTAGTCACCTAGGCGAATATCAGTGATTCAGTTCTGATGGAGAATAACAAAATGCATGTTAATTAGCAGCATGGTAAACCGTGGCACTGAGGATGCACCCACTGAGTCGTAACTTTGCAGCTCTGATGGTATAAATTTATGTCACTCTCACTTTCTCTGCACCTCTCACCAAGCTCTAGAGAGTTATCTACATGGGACAGTATTCACCTTAGTGAAAGGACATGGATGATACAGCTGCCTCCATGATGACGGCTGAGAAGTGGTGATGGTGTGGCTGAATTTATTCAATAAACAGGGGCTGCCTGTGGGAGGACTTCAGGCAAACACCAGAAATATAGCTCTTTTGCAGGTGCTGAAAGAGCATTTGCATTTTTTATTTAAAGGCAAACTCATACCCTGGAGCAAATTAATGGAAATAATGCAGGAGCAAATTAATGGAAATAATGCAAACTAGATTTTCTTTCTTTCATTCTATTGGGGGTTACTCCAGGTAGCCAAATTTTGTTTTTTTGTGTATGTGTAGTGCTGGGGATTGAACCCAGGGCCTCCTGTATGCTATGCATGTTGGCCAAGCATCTGCTACTGGGCTGCATCTCCATCCCCTCCATCCACTTCTCTGTGGAATGCCTTCTTCCTCTGACCATAACGGTATCCTCTTCCTTTGACTAAGATTTAGACAGGTGTCTATCGGGAGGCCCCTGACCTCCCTTTCCTTGAGCATTTACTCTACATAACTTGCAGCTGTAATTTCTCTCTTTACCCCACTGAGATGCTAAAGATTCTAATCTGCTACAACTCAGGAAAGGGTTCATTATCATCAAGAAACAAAGGATTCCCTGTCTCCTTGATTATGAGGGAGGATGGGAAACTAACCTCCCCCAAAGGGTCTTCATTCAAGCAGAGGACTAATCACACTGATAACTCCATGTACTCCTCAATGTTCTCCAGTACTTTCCTATTAGCTAATCCCAGCATGTTGGGATCTTCTGCCTTTTGTTTCAGTGGAGTTCAATCCTGCCTGTTTAATTCTGTCTGGTGTGATTCTTCCTTAATAAGTCACACTTGTCATTAAAAATTCCAAATCATGTGTAGGACACCTTGGATAACTCATTTGATTGAAGATGAGTTAAGGATGGTTGGTGGCTCAGGAATTTGGTTAAAGGAGGGGGAGACCACTTCCTCTGCTGAAATCTTTAATGAAGAGAGAGAGAATGCATTTTATGTAAAGTGAGTCACCCTTGGATGATTCCTTTTAGGAGACTGCAGAAAGAGGAAGAAGAACAGCAGTGGGGTAGAAGGTACACAGAAACTTGCTCTCTGGGTTCAGAATTCTTAGGCTGTTTATTCATTACACTTATCTCATGTTTGCTTATCTGTAAAACAGTGATAATTACAGATTTTTTTCTTGTCTGTTCAAAGGATTCAAGAAAACAGACCATATACATCAAGCGCTTAGAACAGACACAGGTGGTAAGTGCTTCATCAATGTTAGTTATTATCACCTTCACCTTGACCATTGCTGGATCATTAAATAGCAGAAGTGACTTTAAACCAGTAATCATCCATATTTGGGGCTCAAGGTCCTATCTATAAAATGACACCTGATAAGAAAAGGCCAAAACCCCTCCAGATTTAAGGTTTTCTTTGTGATTCTAACGAGGAGGCTACCCATACACTTAACCAAGAAGACATCTGTCAGGCTAATGGCTGAGTGCCATTAGTGCAGCCTGTGACAATCCAGAAGGGGCAGAGAGAGGAAAAAGAGCATCCAAGAAAAGAAACCAAAGTCAGTCCATCAGGGTGATTTCAGACCATGGGCCCTGGGACTAGGTGGTCTGGGTTGGAAGTCCAACTCTACCTCTTACTAAGTGGGGCAAGTTATGTACCCCCAGGAGAAAATGACTAATAATATCACCTGCCTGGTAGTAGGCTTGATACGAAGAAGATTAAATGCATTTCCCGGGACCAAGAAAAGAGGTGGGGAAGGAAAGAGAAGCAAAAGTTCTCCCCACTGCACACAGCCACTCTCTGGCCACCTGGCAGAGAGGCCGTACTCACTGATGGGGCCTAGTTAGGAAACTCTCAGCCCTTGTTTACTTCCTGCTACTATCTGGACTGATCAAGTCTCTTCAGGAGGTAGGGAGAGAAGAAAAATCATGAAATCTAATTCCCGACTGCCCATGCATGGAATAGTGTCCTTGGCCCTTGGGTCCTCAGACATGCTTCAAGTGGCCTAAATGATTTTCAGGTTTGGAACATCAAACTGGCAAGATGAGAACTGAAAAACAAAACCTGACTCTCCACAGAAAGAAGGCCCAAATTATCTCATCAGAATCAATCAATTTACAGAACTGGGGTCCTTGCTGCCCTTTCTTGGCCTTTCTTTCTTTCTTGTTCTCTCTTTTAGCACAGCACATACTTTCCTCACCTAATTTTAAATCCTCTTTTCTGACTATTCTGTGATGCATATGTACCCCTTCCATATTAATATTAAATGTTTGCCTTTTTACCCTCTCCTGGTTCATATCCACCTGAACAGCTTTCTATGCAGAAAAAAAAAAACTTACCAAAATGGTATCAATCTGGATATATTGTTTTTATACCCCATTTCCAAGCAATGATCACACTTTTCCATTTCAGCACATTTTCATTCCATCTGATGCTTTGACCACATTCAATTTCCCACCTTGATCACAAAATTGTTCCGTACATCAGATTGTTCGATAGCCAGTCTACTGCTACGAGTGACATCCACTTATTATGACCCTTCCTTTGCTTTGCTTTTAGTCGAGCAGAGGGTTTTTTGTTTGTTCGGTTTTTTATATATATTTTTTTTAAATAATGACTTTTGAAAGAGATTTTTAAAAGTAATTTGATAATGGAAGATTTCTCTTAAAGTTGAACTTTCAAAATATGCCCGTGGCATTAGCTCTTTTCTTTTAGAACTGGTTTTAGCTATTCAAATGCTACCAGCATCTCAAGTGAAATGAACCAGCTTTACTCATAATGCTCCACTTGAGGTGAGTGAGCCAACAGTCTAAGTGCTTTAGACCAACTTCAAGAACACAGAACAGGGCTGGAGATGTGGCTCAAGCAGTAACGTGCTCGCCTGGCATGCACAGGGCATTGGGTTCTGTCCTCAGCACATATAAAAATAAAATAAAGATGTTGTGTCCGCCGAAAACTGAAAAATAAACTCTCTCTCCTCTCTCTCTCTCTCTCTCTCTCTCTCTTCTCTCTCTCTCTTAAAAAAAAAAAGAAAGAAAGAAAAAAGAAAAAAACACAGAACAAACTCCTGCTGGGTCCTGTGGCCACAGTTTTGTAGGTGAATCAAATTTCCCTAAAGGAGGAGACCAGAATCATCTCAGCTCTTTCTCAGTTGTCCAGGTGAAAGTCTGAGCCAGAAGGACTCCCAGTGTTATGGTACCAGACATCCTCACCTGAGCATGGGGGCAGGGACAGATCAGCAAAGACAGGCACTCACCATACACTGCGATGGTCTTTGTGTCCTGCAGGATGGCATTTCCGGCAGAGACCTGCACTGTGATGGTGTTCATTCCTTCTGAAGTAAATTTGAATGATATGCTTCCCTCCAAGGTGATCAAGGGCTATAATAAATGGGAAACAGAGCAAGCAGAAAGCTGCTTAGTTAGAGTTGAAATAGCAGTGAACCAGGTGGTCGATAACTCTGCAGGGGCTCTTCCTGGTACACTAGCATGGAACTTTCTATGTATGCATCCCCATCAGCTGAAATGCAGGCCAGAGGGGAGGCTGTCTATGGCAACAAGGGCCCCAGGGGATTCTCCCATTTTGGGGGGATTGGACACCTCTCTCCTGGTATCATCCTGACTCTGGACTGGAAAATCAACAACAGGTCTTTCTTGTTGATGGGATACATGTCTCTCTTTTTTCACAATCTATTTTGATGAAGCACGTGTTTTAATCCAAGGACACTTTCAAATCAAACAAGAAAGGGGATCTCTTATTAATCCAAACTTAATAGCAGCCACAGAAAATCTATACATTGCCAAACATTCACCTCTAGGGTCTACTATTAATATGAAATTTCAATGGAGCACAGCAACCGTGGACACTTAAACTGGACAATAGATAGGGGTGGGAGGTGTGGCGGCTTCCTGTGAGAAGCGCCATCAACAGTTTCCTGGAAGTAGCTTCCGTGAAAATAAATAGTTATGGGATTGGGGTTTCAGGACTCAAAAAAGAAAAAAAAAAGTATTGGAGGAGTGCTACCTGTAACATAAGCAGATGCCAAGTTTCTAGAAGAAAAAATTATTAATCTGCTGACTTCCCATGACTCACTCCTCACAAATATTTCTTTCCCATCTTTTCTTAATTAGCTCTAAAATCAAAATTCATTGAATTCCCTGTATGGTGGAGGGCAGACTAAAGTCCAGCATAAGAATTATTTTTAATAGGGTCGGTTGAGAATTTTGTTTTATATTAAAATTAAGGAAAAAAAAACAATAGGAGGCAGAGAAGAAAGTTGTTCAGTGCTTTCACAGTCTATACCAGCTTTCGGGCAAATAGCATTGATTTCTCCTTTCCCATTGTGGACAGTGGGCCCAATGGGCTACATTTGCATGCATGGCTTCAGAAGAAATCAAGGAGCTTCTTTTGTACTCTGTTGTGTCAGCAATGGGGGCGGGAGCTTCTCACTCTATCAGGCTTGCAGCAGGTCTAGGTGCAAGAGAGCTCTCCTCCCTGCATGTGCACAGCTACGTCTCCAGTTAAAGCCAAAATTCAATTCTCAAAGAAAATCACGTTTTTACTAAAATGAGGTGTATAGCATTGGAAGAGCAAAGCCATAGAGTGAATATAACTCTTGGAAGATGATAGAGCGTTCCTGTCCAGGGAGGTTCATCTGAGTGCCCTTTGGGGAAGGGATGCTTTGGGCCTTAATCCCACCACCTTACTGACATTTGGAAGTATTTAATCTTCTGAGAATGGAATGAGTTCAAAACTGACAAAGACCATGCAGCCTGGAGGGCAGGAAAGAAAAATGAATAAAGGGAGCAGAAGGTCTGGGATTTTGCCTCTCTATGAAGCACCCAGAAGAGATTGAAGGAAGCTACTTCTGCTGCAGCAGCCTCACTCTTCTCATCTGCAAAAGGAAGGACTAAGAGTGAATGAAAGTTAAGGTCTCTACTGGTTTTAAAATTATTGCTGACTTTTGAGTACCAGGAATATTTACGGAAAACATAAAAGATGAAGCTGACCTAAAGAAAGGACCCTGTCTGATTTAGGATGCGAGGCCATTTGTGTGTGTGTGTGTGTGTGTGTGTGTGTGTGTGTGTACACATGCATTTATGCGGCAGTGGAGAGGGGGTTGTAATGGATATGGGTTGCTTTTCCTGGATATGGGTTGCCTCTTTGTAATGAGATACGTAACACAGACCACCTGCTGGCCCTGAAGCTAGGGCTCCCCCTGAACTCTTGCATTCATAAGCCATATTCCCTTCCATTTGGCTTTAGCCAGCATAAGCTGAGCCTCAGTCACTAGCCCTGTACGGAAGGTAGACTCACCTCCGTGTTGTTTCCATACCACCACACATAAGTGAGGGTGCCCACTTGGCTGGGCCACAGCACCGCAGTTGCATTGACCTCCTTGTTCTTTGTGGTGACAAAGGGAAGAGATAGGTGCACATGCTCCAAGGGACCTAAAACACAAGACAAAGAGGGGCCATGGAGAGGGAAGAGCTTCCGCTGCTCTGCCTTCCCTGCTCGGAGAGAACACATATTTACTCAGAAGCCTCTCAAACATCACAGCCACCTTCCCCAAGGGAAGTGCCTGGTGCTCTCACCACTTTGGAGAACAGAAATATATTGCAAACAATGTCATTTTGTCATTTTGTATTTACAGATCTTACTTCCAGGTCTATTACCTGAGTTACAGATGGTGAAAGTTAAAAAAATTTACAAGTAGTTTATGAAGTCCTTAAATGAATGGACAAGATTTCACAGGGAGATGCAAGGTCTTTCCAAGAGATTATAGCCTTGGTGATAAATGGATCATGGGGACCTGCCGAGAATCATGTTGGGGTGAGAAGTAGGCAAATCCCCAAATCATTCCACAAGTAATTTTTCTTTATTATTTTTGCATTTCAAAGGTGTGTGAAGGTGTGCCTGTGTGTGTGAGCATGTGAGTAGGAATCTGCCTGGTAAGCATGGAACACACTATATTTGGGGCTGAGTTAGGCCTGCCCAGGAAAGAGGCACACAGGAAGGGCTCTGTGCCAGTGCGTTCCAGGCTTTGGAACATGCCCTTTGTTCTTGCCATCAATGATTGGGCAGATCTTGCCATTGCCACTCATACTTTTACCCCGGCGGGCACACCTTTGTCCTCTGCAGGGCCTGTGTTTATACACCTTTCTCACTGCCCTGTCAGCCTTCATTCAGGTTTCAGTTCCAGCATCACCTCCTCTGTGATGCTCTCCCTGTCATTGTGTCAATGACAAATAAGACACCTTGTTAGTGAGTCATGGTCATTCATTCAATCAATAGTTCTTAAGCACTTTACATGGTTTAGATATGGGGCATCCCCCAAAAGCTGATGTCTGGGACAATGCAAGAATTGTTCAGATGCAGAATGGTAGAATGGGAGATGCGATCTGATCAGTGAATTAATCCACTGATATGGATTAACTGGAAGGTAACTCTGAGCAGGTAGGGTATGCTTGGAGGAGGTAGGTCACTGGGGTGAGCCATTAGGGTTTATATTTTGTCCCTGAGGAGTCAAGATCTCTCTGCATCCTTGTTGCCAGATCCTGAACTACTTTCCTCTGTCATGATGTTCTGCCTCATCTTGGGCCAGAGCTATAGAGTCAGCTGTCTATGGACTGAGATCTCTGAAACTATGAGCCCCAAATAACCTTCCTCTCCTCAACACTGAACTTGCCAGGTCCTTTGGTCACAGTGATGAAAAAACTAACTAAACAGTACTTTTAGGTATTGAGTATTATCTTAGGTCCCAGAGATATTTAGCACTTAATAAGCTTAGGTAATTTTAAGGGAAAAAAGTTATTGAAAACATAAAGCAGGGCTAATTTTGATGGAGTGGTTAAAGAAGCCTTCTCAGAAGAAATGATGTTTGAACAGTGGCCTGGATAGAGTGAAAGATTATACCAAGTGTCTGTTTGTGATGATCCAGTATAAAGACCTTGAGGAGAAGATGTGCTTTCCATGTCAGCCGACCAGCAAGGATGCAAGAACAGCTAAGTGGAAAGATGGAGGGAAACGTGTAGCTGAGCAGGTCCATCAGGGTTCAAGGACACACAGCACATTGGCCTTGTAGGCTCTGAAGTACATATATATGGGCTTGTATAAGTTTATACTTGCATGTATATACATTATACCTCCATAAAAGTGTGACATTTTTCAGATTTGCCTGGCCTCTTGCCTTTACCTACTTTTCATGGGTATAAAATACCTGGGTTTTGCTGTCCAGAACTCTAACCATTAAGCATCTCTGTTCTGCACAGAAGGTGAAGTCTTCCCTAAAGGAGCCACAGAGTAAAATTCCACCCCATGGAAGTCCCCAGTTGATGGTTCCGCTCAAAGAGCTAAACAAATTGGTAGATGCTGCTCTAGCATATAGGTGCCTGCGATGCACAAAAGGGACAGCAGGTGGCGCTGCATCACTCCATATGAATATCCCTGGCAAGATGGTTGAGAGAATTAGGAATTACTTGGGTGAATTGGGTTTCCCTATCCTTTTCTTGTATTGCCTTCCCATGCTGCAGGAAACAGCTGATGTCTGTGAGACTGAACATTTTGTGTGTGTGTGTGTGTGTGTACGCGCACACTGACTGCTGTGATCTCCCTCTAGCATTTATGTCCTGAAGACTTCTGAATATTTAATGAAATATTGCAAATATGTCATATTCTTATTTATCTGAAATTATTTTTAAAAAGACACTAGAGGAAGTAAAGGGTATTTGCACTATAAGGAAGATATTCCTAAATCAGACTTTCTCAAACTTCAGCATATATAAGAAGCATACTAATTTGTTCAAAGCACACTATGATACTACATTTCCTATTATCTTAATTTAGTAGGTTAGAGATAGAACCCAGAAAAAGAAAATTACTATTTAATTCTGAGCAGGTGGCTCATTCAACCACATTTTTTAAAAAAAAAACAAAAAACCTGTTCTGATTTGCCGGTCAATATAATGATGGCATGAATAGTTGCAAAGCCGCATGTTTTTTCAAGCCATATGGATAACTTTACCCTAAGGTGGGGCCAGAGAGATATCTGCAAATTGCTCCTATGTAAGGGAGCAGTTAAGGAAATGGTTTGAGGAAGAACTAGAACATCTACCTCATCTTCTTTCACCTCCCATCCTGCAACTTTGCAGAGTCTTCAATGTTTTTTTTTTTTTCTTGCAAGATGGTTGTGATAGGGCAGCTTTCTGAGCAAAAATCTGCATGCCCTCTAAATTCTCTGCTCCATCCAGCTGAAGGCAATGCTGGCTGCAGCATGTGTCTCATTAGTTTGCAAAACAGCAGAGCACAGTGAATACTATCCCCAAGGAATTTTCAACTGTCAGCCTTCAACAAATTACCCAGGTGCTCTGTGAGAGCGGCTGGCCCATTCCTGCACGCATTAAAGCAGGAACATGGGCTCCATTTGTTTCTGATGACCTTTGCAAACCCATATTGAAAAACCTCTGATTTGGAATAAAATCACCTTTCTGCACTGGAGAGTGGAGAGAATGTGTATGTAAGACAAGAAATGGGTTTTCTGGAGTTGACTGATGGTGGAGTCAGTGGGACAGAGGCAGAGAAGAGGTTAGCAAGCTTTGTGGCTACTTCTGTAGCTCAGAATCCACAAAGTCCAAATGCACATGATACTTTAAGATAATGGAAAACCAAATGTTGTTAGTTGACAGGGTACTGCTTGATAGATCTTTTGAGAACAAGATGTGCTTCCATTTGATAGAGAAGAAAATCTAGGTTCGGTGAGACAGAGTAATATGACCAGCATTTGGACTTAAACTTTTAGCATGTCAAACTCTGTCTAGTACTTTTAAAAACTTTTCTCTCACAAAGCCAACTCTGTCCCCCACCTGCACTTAGGCACTAAAAATCCCTTACTACACTTCCCAGGCATTAGAAGTTTGGGAGTGTGACTCAGTGCTACTCTTATTGTGACTTCCTTTTATTGAAAAACAGTGCCAAAATCAGAGAGCTTCTCCAATCTTTGTTTTCTCTACCTGAAAGGAAGGGCCTAAGTCACTTATTATGGTACAGATGTGAAAACAGACAAAATGAGTTTAAGGGCATAGTAAAGCACCCCAGAGCCTTTAGAAGAGGTGCTGAGCTAACGTGTCAGAACCTGTGGACCCTGCTGAGGTGTGGGTATTAGGTTAATATGAGCTACAAACAGCTTTAAATGTGATCCTGCTTTAACCCAATCTGTATATAAGAGTGAATTCTCGTCCCCAAGGCCAGGCTCAGAAAGGGGTTCCATTAATATGAGGAGGTGGGCTTACCCAACAACTTCACCCAAGAGGAGTATGAGAGATTAAAGTCAGAACACAAACATTCAATCACAAATCATCTCCTGCTATTTTACCTGATCAACCAGGTTGATGGAATGAAAAAAAAAAATGCAGAGGAACAAAGAAACTCATTTCTTTTAGAAGCCTTGGGCTTTGGCAGGCCTTAATCTTGAGCAGAGGTCAACTATCTATTGTTTTCCTTCCCTAGATTTAGAAAATCGGGGAGGGTCCTTAGGGGAAGCAGTAGCTCCCTCAAGGGATCTGATCATGTATAAAAATGAGAAAAAGTGCCCAGAGGGACAGGGAGGTTGAGCCAGGGAGGACTCAATGGGAGGCCCTGAGAAGCTGAGATCAGAGCCACTCCTGAATTCTAGGTCCAGAGTTGTACATGGCTGGAGTGAGGTGAATGCATAATAAATACATGAGAAGTGGACTGCAGCTCCATTTCCCAAGGAGGGTAGCTGTCTGGTAGAAACCCCCCCCCCTCACAGAACAAGTTGTAGGAAATGATAAGCTACTAGAAAGGCCACCATTCTCAGCAAATGGACTGACATTCGTGACGCAAGTCATTTTTTGGTTACCAATAATTAACGTTTGTGGTGTACCTTCAGAGATTTTTAGATTATTCTCATGATCATCCCTTTTATTGCCCTCAACACTGATGGAAAGGGGGTATTGTGTCTTGGGCTGTATGAGATGGAGGGGAACCTGTGCAATGCATCTTAAACCTGCATAGTTGTGTAGCAAGGAAGCTACTTCTAACCTAAACACTCATATTTCTTCAGGATGTCTGCCAAGGTAGGCAGGGAGAGAATTCCTGCTGATGGAGTTAGTTCCTGCAGCCCCAAGCCACCCTTCACACTGACCCCAACTTTAGTGATCAAGAACTGGAATTCCTGAGACTGGTAGGCCTGAGTCTGGGGCCTGGCTCTGTTAGGTAGTACATCAGCTACCTCAAACAATTCACTTTTAGCTCTGTGGTCCTTTGCAAAGCAGAGTTTCTCACTGCTTCTACTTCATAAGATTGTTTTGAGAAGTGTAGTAATACACATAAAGAGCTTTTAGTGCAAAGCCTACCTGGCATACAGAGGAAGAGCTTAATAAAGTGTAGCCAAAGTGGGGGAGACAGTTAGCAAAGTGGGAACCCTGCCTAACTCTGTTTAGACCCAAATAAGGGAGTGTGTGCTTCCTCAGAGAACCTCAGCCATGAGTATACAATAGGCAAAGATGGAGAAGAAGTAATATATTTGGAGTCTTCAGCAACCACACTGTCTCTCGAGCATCCCTAAATAGTCCTGTCCTTTCCCACAGTTTTTATATTATTCTTATTATTTAAAGTCAGAGACCTAGATGTTACTTTCATTACTCGATTTTGCTCCCTGGGCAAGGTGCAGGGGAGAGGTATAGAGTATTGTCAGGCCTTAATACTCTTTCTCTGGGGACTTGAAATTTGAACTAAGCCTTAATATAAAGAAATTACTTTAATGTAAACTATTTTTCTAAGAACCAAAATGAGTCTGAGGACTGTGGGGGACAACTTCATGCATACGATATTTATGACACACAATATACCCAACATACTTTAGTTGTTATCTCATTACATCCAGCCAGGCCTTCTGATTCCTCAATGGGGAAAAGCTACAGCATGTCTTGGAACTCTTTCCTAGGGTAGCTTTCTTAACACTCATAACACTGTTTCCCTCCATACCACCTTCTCTGGAATTCCAAACCATCATTAGACAGTAGCCCAGAAATCCCATTAAAAGAAAAAAAAAGGAGTGAAAATGTTAAAAGGATGATTTTTAGCAAGACATAACTTGGAAAACAGAAATAAGTGGGTAGGGGATCAATTCCTTTGCCTGTGCTAGTTTGATTGAACTGTGCATTTCTTTGTTTCTGACCATTTGTAACCAAAGAGCTGGTGGTGGGGGGCCACTCATGTCATGTTTCAACTGAGACATTCTGAAAATTGCCCAGGTTCAGGCCCACACGCAGGTGCTATATCTCTGGGGTACCTGGAAGAAATAATCTCACTGCAGTTACAATTTCAAGCAATTCAGATTCCAAGATGGCTCAGATTCCCCTTGTGGATTTTCTTCTTACTTTATCTCTACTTTGCCCTCTGACTCATTTCCTTTCCCCCCTCTGCTAAAATGTAACTCCTGTGTTTCTTCTGGATAAGAAATGCAGGATCACATTTTAAAAGGACACGAATTTAAGCTATGTCATAAGCCAACAACAGTAATAACATACAAGTTACATGTAAGTACAGGACGGCGCTGTCAGACCCCAGACTGTTGTCCACCTGCACGGTCACTCGGAAAATGCCCACGTTCTGATAGACGTGTTTGATCCCATCTTCCATGGAGCTGAGATTGACGTAAGACACTGCAATGCCATCACCAAAGTCCACTTGGATGAGTGTCCGCTGGACATCACCCTGCAAAAGAGCCCAGAGTCAGTCAGCAGGAAGGGAGTCAGAGCTTGGCTGCACTTTCTAGGGGCCTGGGGCTTGTTTTGGTCTTGGCTCCTCCAACAGCTGGGAACATCTGTCTGTTTTGATAGAATCCCTCTGACACTCCCTGGCAGACAGGAATTTGCTAAGATGGATACTCTCCAAACGTGAAGGGCACCAACTACCAGAAATTTCAAGGCTTTGGAGATTAACAGTGTTTGATTATCAGGTTCAATTTGATATTCAATTACTCAAGAAGGCTTTGTTATTAGTCTTATCATCCACATCAACAAAGTTGCATCCAGGTGGCTTCAAAAATTCAGCCTACCTGTTGTGGTCACCAGGTACCTTCTGCGTCTCCTGAGTCATCCACTTTGTTTCTGGTTCCCTAACCATGTTGGAGGAAGGGTAGAGGACACCTAGCCTGACATCAGATAGGACACTGAATTCTCTTAAAATTCAGTATTTTGTATTAAGAAATGGTCTTATTTTAGTCTTCACAGAATCTGAGTCTGAATAAAAGAACAGGGACAGTTCAAATGCCTTGACAGATGAAGACTCTGAAGTCTACAAAGGTTTCATCATTCACTCAGGTTAACACAGCTAGTAACTGGTGGACCAGGATTCTGACCTGGTCCTCTGGATTTTGGTTCATCCATTTCAACATACCACTGTGAGTAAAGCATTGAAGCCCCTGAGGCTTGAATCCCACTGTGTTATTAACAAGCTAGATGACTTCATACATGGGGGTCTATCATTCAGCCTGCTTTGGTCTCAGTTACCAAATCTATGAAATGGACACAATACTACCATACCATCTTAACTCAAAAGATTCTTAAAAATATGTAGATATTTAGTAATCCATAAAATGTTACACAAAAATAAATGACTATAAAAACAACACAGCTGTAAAAGACCTACAATACTTCTGCAAAGCTGGAGTGGGATTATATGAATATAAATTTCCCATGAGCAGACAGAAGATAAAGTCTCTATTCCAAAACCTCAGACCTCTTTAGTTTCTCAAGAAGCAAAGTTGCTTAGACCAAATTGGCAAAACAACAAAAACTAAAAACTTCTTTCACACAGTCCATCTTTATCAAACTATGTTTCATTCTTTTTGATAGTCTTTCCCATTTTCAGATAAAAAGAAAAAGAAAAAACTACCTTTAAACTAGAAATGTCTTTTTGATTAAGTAAGGTTTATATGGTATCATATTTTTTGAAAAGGCCAAATTTAAAAGCTGATGGTTAAAGGATTATTTCACAGCCAAAGGAAAAGCAGTTCAAATCCTATGAATCTGTGTAACCTACTCCTCTGATCTCTGCCTAGCCGAGCACTGTCAAGGGGCACACAGCAGCTAATGCTCATTGAGAACCTAGTACAGCTCTCAGGAAACACACATGCCAACGTCCTACCCTGGGGTGGAAAAAGAAACCTGACTCAAAACTATAAAGCAAACATCCACAAGCTCAGACATTGTGGAATTACTTGAATTCCCTTCATTAATGAATATAAATGTCAACTCTTCTTGCTAACTTGTCCTTCACTTGGGCAACCAGAGTGGACTGATGAATCCTTCTTTCTGTTTCTGGTGAGTTTCCATTTCCAGGTCTTCTGGGGTTTTGACAGAGTGATTGGGAAGCCAACCCTACGACGTGTGTGCCAGGGGTGGGGGGAGGACCACTTTTTTGAAACCAGGTTCTGGGGTAAATATCAGAGTAGACGGGGTTCTCCAGGGCATGTGACAAGCAGTGGAGTGGGAGAGGGAGAGAGATAAGCTTTGTGGGGACAAAGAAGGCATCAGACAGAGGCTATCGCTAACAAGAGGACGGAGGGGAGGTTCCCACCTATAGCCAACTCTGCTTCATTCTCCCCTGATAGAGAGACAAAGAGATAATGAAGGAGAGAGAAGCCACCCACAGAACCGGAAAGAGTAAAATGTCAGCCAACATCATTTCAGTCTACATTGCTATGAATTTCCTGTTTGGTATTCATTGTTTTCCTGTAGTTGGCCTTGACTTAGACATCTTGTCATGTTCTATCTGTCTGGATTTCATGTGGTCTTTTGGCTTGATAACATTCTGACATCTCGATTTATGATAAAGTTCTCTGTACATACAGTTGGTGAAAGAAGGGAGTTACTCAATGTTTACATGAATGCAGCAATAAGCATCTCTAATGGAAAATGTTTTAAATATACCATCCAAGACCACAGCAGAATCAGGTTTTTAGAAGATCCATTTACCTATCTAGATGTATGTACATATATCTAGACAGACATATATCTAACCTTAATATACATATATATCACCTAAACACACACACATTTTGCAAGGAGGTAAATATTAACCAAATTCACAATACAAACATGGCCTGGGATTTCACGAGCTTCCACATCATTAGTGAGATAAATGCATTTTAAATAATCACACCAGTAACAAAAAGGCATGGAGGAGTGTCCCGGGGCATGGTCAGCTCATACAGTAAGGAGAGCAGGGAGGCTCATGGACTGGGAACTTCAAGGAAGTCTTCCCAGAGAAAATGATAACTGAGCTGAGAAAACCTGAAGGAAGAAAATAAATTAACCAAATGAAAACCTGAGTAAGAGAGTGGGAGGTGAGGGAGGTGGTGAGAAAGAGAGAAACCGATGTGGAAGGCTCTGTGGCAAGGGGCGATGGTACAGTGGAAACAGGTAAAGGAGACTAAAGAAAGAGACGACAAGAATGTCTGGGGAGGAGACAGAGGCCTTTTGGGATTTGAGGGTCCAGTTTCTGAATTTGACCTTTCTTCTAAGAGCAATGGACAGCCATGAAAGTGTGCCAAGCAGGAGTTTGGGGTAAGATGCATAGTGATCTATGATCTCTCCAGCTACCATGTGGAGGATGGAACGAAAGGGGTCCATGTATGCTGGGAAGCTAATGAGCAGGTAATTTGGGGTAGATGATGGCAGACTGAAAAGAAAAGCTGCCTCATGAAGTTACATGCATCTCTCTGAAAACTAACTCAAATAGTTTATTGGTGTCATAATCAGTTATTCCGAGCATTTAACAGCAGCATCTCTTATAGATTTTTTTTGAATGTTGATGCCCAACTACTCCCAAGAATCATGTTTCATGGTTTCTGGGGAGGATGCTCAGTCTAGCTGCAGATCTAGAAGGTCCCCCATTGACATGGGGCTGTACTCAGGGTTGAGGCCCTCTGGTTCAGACTGTTGAATGGCAGGCCTTCTTGTGATTGGACTCATCCAAAGATGAATATGGTATAGCACAAAATGATGCTATTCTTATTAGATTTTAACGTGATGATAAAGTTTCTTCAGGATGCTCTAGGATTTGAAGTGCTAAAGGTGCATTAATAAAGCCGGGGATGAAAGGGCTAAACTCCCTGTTGGTGGAATACAGCACAATCACTCACAGAAGTTCCGGGATATGTGCAGTCAAGATCAGCTGCCTTCTCTAGGAGTCGCTGGTTGATACCACACTCATTTGCAAAATCCTAAGGGCTGGAATGTATTCTGCTAGTGTCTGGATTCTGATAATTATTTTTTTAATGCAGTTTGATTATTGTGCCTTAATAATGTGTTTGTTTATCAAAATGGTATTTTTTAATATATTATCTCATTTAGCCATTAAGATATCCAGGAGATTGAAAAGACAGATGGAATTTCTCTTTGATACAGTAGGAAACTGGGGCGGAGACATGTTAAATAAGATTCCTAGAGTCACACAGCTATTAAGAGCATTATGGAGGGGTTTTAGACTGTCCATTTAGCACAGTTCTCACTGAGTTTCTTCAGGTGAGAGTTCCTAATAATACTTTTCAGGGTGAGAGCAAGGTGATAACAAAGATGAGGCTTCACTTTTCTTCTCTTGTTTGACTCTATTCACTGCTTCGACTGTTTTCCCCTCGGTCAACATTTTGACTTAGACATTTCTAACTAAAGAAGGGTTGGCATGAATTCCATACTCTTACCTTCTCTCTGGCCCCAGTGAAGCAGTATCATGCTCAATCCATAGAGAAGATAGAGAATATAAGACTCAGTTTCCATAATCCATGGTTGGGGAAGCTTTTTGTATAATTGTGAGTTACTTGAATTTAATGAATGAAAGCCATTGTTTCTGCACCTGAACCCAGGCCAGCAAACCCCTGGACTATCACAGAAAGTTCTTTACATCCACAGCCCTTTAGTCACCTGCCGTAAAATAGATGCAGAACTGAGAAGACTGGCTCAAATAAGTGCCAGGCAAAAGCAGAAAAGCCACAAGAAATCCAGATGGGGATTCTCCAAGGGCATCACTGACTTCTGTAATAGAAAAACAAATGTCTCAATCAGCTACAATAAAGCCCAGATTAACAGAAGCAGTGAAAGGTGTGTGAACCTATCAGATTCTGTGACATAGACTCAGAGAAGAACGGGAAAATAAATGCCACAGTAACTCCACACGGAGGACTCAGTCCAGAAGCAAGACTCAGAGTCACAAGGAAGTGTCAGAGACTCGCTGCATGAAACCAAGCTCATTGTCAGAGCATGACAGTGGGCCTAACTCAGGCTTCGGTAACATTTTGTCTCTGAAGGAGCTTAAAGATCATTCAACAAAAACTGCATTGTAGAGACCGAGTTAGTACATCCCATTTCATTAAAAATAAACAAAAAATGTCACAGTGTATATACCATAAGTCTAAGTGGGTGGGTATAAGAACAGAGCAGGGTGTTAACAAATGTAACCATGCTGATTACTCTGGCTTGGGTGGCATAAAGTGAGGGGCTGGAAGACAACAGGAGCTCTGAAAGACAGGGGAGAAATGTGGGGAAATGGTGATCCCATTAGATTTAAAAGGGGGATAGAAGCATTGCAAATCACAATATTTTATCTCCACTATTATCGTAAGTATTGAAATATTGATTAAATATATGGGATCTAAGCAGAATGTGACACCGATATTATATATGAAGATTAAATATAGTCAACACTAGTTTGGG